GCAGCGGCTCAGCTGTTACTTAAAAAAAAATAAGGCAATTGTGTTGTTGTCAGACAATATAAGTCACTTAATATAAACTTCTTGTTTAATGAACTGTTGTATTAAATCAATATCACATTTGCAAACTCCCTTAATAATCGTTAAAAGCTGTCACTCATCTTAGTTTATCCCGATCTCACAAAACTCCATTATAATCGACGAAGCCCTCTACACTGCACAATGAATATCTTATTTACACCCCGTCAACACTTTGTTTGTTATAATGAGAGGATATGTCTGTGATACATTACTCAACGCTGCAGAAACACGAACGTATATTAAAACCTTTGAAGCTCCCTCAGCGCAAACACAAATATGCTGATCGGGTCAGTCGCACAGGTGCTCCTAAATATTATTTCATAGTCGCACGCAGTAGTTTTCAGTCGCAAATGGGCCACTTCAGAGGGTACTTTGAAGGGTACAACTGACAGACACTCGCTCCCATGATTCGTTTCGCAGGTTTAATTGTGTGACAACAGCCCAGGAGTGATGTACAAGTGCATTTCAAGAAACTATTTTTTGGTCACGAATCTCTCACTCACATTTATTTCAATGAATTTTTTTTTACTTGAGTTTGATGGTTACAGCGCTTAAATCTTTGCGTGGTGATTTGCAGATGTGATTTAAGAAAATGTATGTACCTGGTAGACTCCAGCAAGAAATGTTAAAGCTGTGGCAATGCTAATGGCATAGCATTCCTTTCCACATTCCATATTCAGTGCCATGATCTTCAAGTTGACCAGAGTAGTGTTAGCTTGCCCAGTGCCATTTAACCATAATGCGTTTTTCGTACTGTCTTCATTCAAATCAAAGCCTGCAAGGTAGACCTCCCGGTCCACAACTTGTCCAACCATCAAACTCATGAGGCTGAAGATGCCCACAGAAACATGTCTTGACGTTCCCATGAAAAAGTAAATGATGTTTGAAAAAAATGATGTGTACAAGCCATAGATGGGATCCAAACCAGCCAGCAGGCAGTACGCAATGGCTTGAGGGATCAATATGATGCCAATTATGATCCCAGACATCAGATCTCCCCATATATAGTCCTTCACCTTGTACTTCGGAAGCCATTTCACTACAGGGAAGAAGCCTGTTAGAGTCCCCTTCAGTTTAGATCCTGAGCAGGAGAGGTTTCGCTGCAACTTGGTCTTGATAATCTCACGAATCCGTTTCCTCTCTTGTACTCTACGCTTTAGTGGGCCCACAGTCACAGAGTTTAGGTCCTCCATGGCTTCCAGTGATGAAGGACCCATGCACTGATGAGGCTTTTAAGACAGCTCCTGAAAAAGAGACAAAGACCTTTGATCAGTGTGTGATCTCCTTTAAAGATCAAACTGGATGCCTGATAAATAGGGGTAACTGATTAATTGTTGTGCTTGGAGCAAGTGTGAATGGAAAACAGTTTCTGCGTTTTCTTTTTTTTTGCTGTTTCTGTGGGAAAGTCAATAATTAGTCAAGCAAGTTAACATGATTATCTAAAGTTATACAACAATCAGTGTTTGAGAGGGTTTAACGTGCTAGGGACAGCATTTACCAATCATTAGAAAAGATTCTCACATACTTCTCTTATCAAAGCCTCTAAAGCTAAAGGCTAGAGCGAAAACCAGGGACAAAGACCTTTGATCAGTGTGTGATCTCCTTTAAAGATCAAACTGGATGCCTGATAAATAGGGGTAACTGATTAATTGTTGTGCTTGGAGCAAGTGTGAATGGAAAACAGTTTCTGCGTTTTCTTTTTTTTTTGCTGTTTCTGTGGGAAAGTCAATAATTAGTCAAGCAAGTTAACATGATTATCTAAAGTTATACAACAATCAGTGTTTGAGAGGGTTTAACGTGCTAGGGACAGCATTTACCAATCATTAGAAAAGATTCTCACATACTTCTCTTATCAAAGCCTCTAAAGCTAAAGGCTAGAGCGAAAACCAGGAAACAAAAGCTTGTTCTTACATCTCACCTACATCTCTTTCATTATTATTAGGACTTTATATGTACAAAGTATTATGCTAATACAGCTATTTTATGATGTCAATGATGTTAAAGTCCCTGACCTTTTATAATCATTAATAAAGCTCCACAAATTGCAAGTACAGATGTACTGTATGTGGCAAAGCAATGTGCACTGTTCAAAGAAAGTCCTGAGTAAAAATGTCCAGTTACTAATTAGTTCACAGAAAAATCTCACCAACAATTTCTTTTTGATTCCTTATTCCATTAAATCCTTTTTATGTCATTGTCACACTGCTGTAGATTTGGATGTGCCAGACATTGGTCTCTAATCAAAGCAAGTATGCATGCTATTTATCTCCTAATTGCCTTTTTATTGGAGGGTCATAAAATCACCACTTAGATATGAGACTGTTTTCCATGATGGCGTCTCATAGTTTATAGGTCTATATTTGAACTGGCATTAACATCAGTAAACTATTTAGTTTTCCTCTATAGTTGTTCTTCTGCCAAAGTAGATGCATGCTCATTGTGTTTTTGAATTTGAAGACAAATAACAATATAAATGAGCAACTATTAAGTACAATACTCACCTGAATAAGTGGCTTCTTAAAGGGACCATATAAAATGAACAAAACTGCTTAGATTTATTCACTAACCTCTCTATACCCCTCCTCCCACTGGCTAAACGAAAAGCTGTGGTGTAAGTCCATGCTTCAGTATGCAAAAACCTTCAGGCAGTCCTCTTTTCCAACATCAGTCATTTTCATAGGCTGTAAAAACAAAAGGCGGAAGTGTTGTGTCCCTCCTGGGTTAAACACATGCTAGTTTGTAATGTTCTGCATTGAGTAATATCTAGGCATTATGACAATAAGGCGTAAAGAGTCAATCTTTTACTGGTTCTTATTAGATGAAGCAAGACCAGTTCACACATTAGATCATGCTACGAAATATAATGAAAATAAATTTCATCTGAACTAGGTAAATGAATTATAGCCACATGAGAAGAAATGAAAAGACATTTGCTTTGTCATGCAATTGCGCGGGAATTTAGTGCAATTGATAGCATCAGTACTGCAGTAGATAGCATAATGTAAGACATGCTTTAAGATTTATGCATTGAAATACATACACTAGATTTAATTGTAAAGTATCTGAATGCTTTCTCTTAATTGTCTTAGCTCATTTTAAATAAAATTTACATTAAAGCAATAGCAGGGCAAAGGCATAAGTAGTTAATCTTTTACTGGTTCTTCTCAAACTGAGTGAAAACATTTTACACATCAGATCGTTCCATGAAAAATAAAGAAAATAGTAGAATCACTGCTTCATCTGAACTAGTTAAATGAGTTATATAGTGAACTCCGTTTAGAATCATCTCTTTTTTTGTTGCTGGCAATGCAGAGATGTTCAATGGCATGTATAGTGACAAAATTTCACACTGACTTGAATGCTGTTGTTCATGCTACTTGCAGGATGTATGGCATTTATACTGTGAAAAATGTGTGAAATATGATTTACACACACATTTCTGTAAAGACTCTTTTATCATAAATGTTCTGCTTTTAATTATAGTTATCACATGATAGGTGCCACACATAGATCATATGGGAGGTTTTTATCATTGAAACCAGACAATGGTGGTATTATTCAATGTTATACTATTTAATAGTATAACTCACGGTTAATATTTGTTATATTTAGCGATGTGCAAGTTTGTTTATTTATTTATTTATTTTGGGTATTGTATAGTATGTTTTGTCCCATACTGTTGTCTGTGTGTGTGTGTGTGTGTTTCCATTTATTTACATTATTACTATTGTGTCAATAAATAACAAAGGACCAGTTCAGGCAATCTCTCAGTTTATTCTGTGAACTGTGAACCTCTGTCATCTAGAATAATGACTGTGTGGTTAAGAATAATGTCCTTTCTGTCCTTTCTTCCTAATTGTAGACATACAGTACAGTTGTTGTTATCAGATCTGGCAGGTTGTATAGACAGCGATCTCGGTCCACTTTTTATATGAACTCAGTTATGAGTCATACTTTATGAGTAACTATGAGTGAATGACAGACAAACCTTCGTATATGGTCCTAGGCAAACTGAGGTCTTATGTAAGATATGTCTTAGTTGTAATAGGGCAGGATGAGTTCAGATGATATGTGCAAATGAATTGTTTACCAGTTCAGTGTCATATTATAATTTCTAAATTGTCTAAAATCCTAAAATGATGTACTGAGATAAATTACATGACATGAATGTGTCAAAAGGCATGTTGCTTTATCTTCATTTCCTATTAAATGTTCTTGTGATATCATACTAATATATAAAAGCTTTGTATAAGAGGAAGCCCACCACCATATAAAGTCTGAGGGTGAATATTTTGGGAAACAGGGACTCACCCTTATCGTAGGAGCGGATGAGTAGAATGGAGAATACATTTGCCATGCCTCCACTGCTGAATTTCCCGGTGCGCATTAGCTTGGCTGTCTGAATAGAGCAAAGGATTGTGGGTAAAGATGTTAGTCTCTTAACCCTCAACAACCAATCATAGACAGATGGAGATAGAGGAACCGAGAGAAGGGAGGGCTGTGGGCTGATCACCATAGAAACAGTGCCACCCACAGTCTCTACTTAGTATTACTGAATTTATATGTGGCTATCAGTATCTGAGTAGTGCACTATGAGCCACATGGGGGAATATATATATATATATATATATATATATAGAGAGAGAGAGAGACAGTGAGGAGTACCATCGTGTGTGTGTGTGTGTGTGTGTGTGTGTGTGTGTGTGTGTGTGTGTGTGTGAGAAAAAAAACATTTAATTATCAGTTCTACAACAGAAAACTAACAGGTTTACTCAGAAATCTTTAAATAAGCTCAGATTCTTTATGGGAACATCTTGTTGATTGGGACATCTTATGTGACTGCACGATTATGTGAGGCAGCACACTAGAATACAGATATGTTAACGTCAAAGGATATTCAGTGTTTGCTTAGCTGCTTTGTTCTCTTTGTTCTTTTCTGTTGGTATATAAGACTTACATATGACCTTTTAAAACATTGTTTCTCCACAGCAAACTAAGCATGAGTCCAAGTTAATTCTTCAAGTTAATCTTTTCAGGTCAGTATGTTAATATATTTGCTGACATTCTGTCACTTTGTTAATGTTCATGAGTGGTTGGGCATCACAGTATCACATGGCTACTCATTGTTTTTATCACAATGTTCTAAAAACGTGTACTACATGGAGCCACTTAAGTGACCTTTGAAAAAGTTAAATTAAAAAAGATTTTTTTTTGGAAAAAGTATCAAATTCTTTATACAAATTTTTATTATATAATTATGTATATTATTAGGCTATATAATGGAATATAGTCCTTGATGTCATTTGACTGCTTTGTGTGACAAACAGACCATAAATTATGTGTAAATTACATTTTTAAATAACATATTTAAAGTCTGTTATTTGATCAGTTACTGTATATCTGATCAAATGCACATTATTATTATTTAGTTTGGGTTAAACAAATACATTTTGCTTGGTTGGAACAGCAGCTACGCTAATTATGTTTGTATTTGTTTCTCTGTTTTTGCCACGGGGTAACTAGGATTTACACAAGCTTCAGTCTGGATCCAGAACACCTGAGAAGAGATGATGCCAACCCCTCAGAGGACCTCAGATGATGCCAACCCTGAAACAACATACAGAGCTACCACATTTTGCTATAAGTTTGATTGCATCATATAATAATTGCTGTTAATAGTGTTCATCGTCTGTTTGATTACGTCTTTAATAGATTTTTCCGTACATTTCTACCATATACATTAACTGACAGTCACCACTGATAAGCTACCACTACATATTGTAGAAACTTAATTTGCTGTTAAGTTGCTTTGCAATGATTTGTATAGTGAAAAGCGCTATACAAATAAACTTGAATTGAATTTAATTGAATTTAAATAATGTTTGTAATTGTTTATATGTTTTACAGTAAGTTTCAATGTAGCTGCTTCATGATGATGCAGGGTATAAATAACCAAAAGAGGGAGCCTTGTATTTGAAATGTAAACATTTTGATTTTATTTAAATCTTATTTTTTAATTGTATTATTTAGAAGTACAAGTTCAGAAAACTGTGCCAGACTTCCAGTCTGGAGTCTAGACTTTTCTACATCTTGTTTACCTACATTTTCAGGCTTTAAAAGCCCCTTATGTCATTAACCCAGACTTTCTCCAGCAGAGACGTGGCACAGTACGGACAATCTGTTCTGTCTCCAAGACACAAGCTGGCATGAGAATACTTATCGGCAATCATAACAAGAACAGTTTTCAGAAGGTATTAACCTATTGTTGATAAATTGGCAAGACCTCAGATGACCCAACGTAATATTGAACTGGATAAGTTCATACTGTACTTACTTAGGCCAGCCTTTTTCCTTTGCATCTTTTAAGGTTGTTGGACTGATTATGTGAATTAACTGTGCGTTACTGCTCGATTAACATTGAAAACATTATGCCTTTTATCTATTGATAGTCCATGTTATTTAATTTATATCCCTGTGAAAATCCTCAAGTTTGAATATCTTATAATTGGGCAATTTTTAGAAATGGAAAATGGAAATGTTCCTCCAAGACACATCTGACTCTTGACTGGTATGATTTTAATTACACTTAATTCTAATAAATTTAATAAATCAATGCCATTTGAGTTACATTAGTTTTAAACATTTAAAACATCTACTTAATAGCTTGTGAATCTGTTAAGGCATGCTAAGACAAGATATATTTTTCTGTTGCAAATATATTTGTTATATAGTACATATTAGAAAATATAATAGAAATACTTACATGGTAATAATGTAACTGTAATTTCTTAACATTTGTCCATTGTCTGTGTGTTTAGTTTGCTTGGAGCCAGGAGTTGTATAATGTGAGTTTATAGGAATTATCACCACTAAAGCCTAGTAACTACACTAAGTGGATAACTTAATTGGCAAAACAACACCTGTCCAATTGTTTACCATTTTAGATCTCACAAGCCCTCATTAACCTTGGCAGACATTTTCCCATAATCTCTGTTATGTTTCCCAAACAGACCTTTTTTGTCCCTTGTGATGTATACTGTATGCTGATTCTGTTCTTCTTGGCATTGGTTGTTAATGCAAATATGCTGTGGAGTATAATATATCCCTTTCAGTTTGTACACAAATGGGGCATTCATTTGTGTATCCATTCTAATGTATTTTAAATTTCAAATAATCTTCAAAAACATACTTGACGAGACTTCTGGTCAGTGATACTGAAGATGTCAATGATATGCAAAACAATGCACAACCACCCACCCCTATAAATTCCATAAAAATGTCCAAAAGTAAGTTTTGTTTAAAAAATATTTATTGTCACATACACTTAGCACAGTCCAAGGTTCCCTTGAGATAAGAATTTCAATGATCTGATGTCTCCCTGATGCACGCATGCATCTCTACAGCACTGAAATAGAATGACCCCGGATGCCGCTTCTTATGCCAGCATGCTCTTCGTTTCGTCTAACAGTTTAGCAAGCTCCTGTAAAATGTGAAATGGGAAAAATCAGATTAGACAGACAAATCAAATCCAAACTCCATCTTTATGTGCACGATTAGCTGAATTAATAAGACTGCTTTTGTTGTGTTGCAGCTAAACTGTCAGTGAACTTACCAGACTGCAGGACGGGCTGGAACTGACCAGCCATGCAGAGCTCGTCTTGTTTCTGGCGGACGATGCGCTGGATTGCAGGAGGCAGGCCACGGGGGTTGCGTGAGAAGACAATGGCATAGCCATCCTCGCATGTGCCATCGTCCTTCAGACTGCGGCAAGCGTAGGTGATAGCATAGTTGTCGTAGTCGGTGTCAATGACCCAGTAGTTGTCACCTTTATGAAGAATAAACATAAGTCAAATGATTCATGTGACAGTAATGGGTACAGATGTGATAATGGGCACATAAGTGTCTTCTGACCTCCGCTGGACAGATAGCTAGCCAAGCCCTGATAGTTCATGAACATCTTTCCAGGAGTGCCTGGGTCAGGAACACTGTACTGGGCAGCCATGTCAGCACATACAACCCAGAATCTGTAAAGAGTTAGCAGGATTAGCATTAGCATGTGACATCAGCATTAACTTATTTGTCAATTAACCAAGAGCATGTATAAAGCAGGATTAGCATTAGCATGAGATGACTTTGCTGTCATATAATTAAACTTATTTGCCAAATCAACACAGAATTCGTAAGCAGCAGGATTAGCATTAGCATATGACGTCATCACTAACGTATATTTAAACTTGTCTGAATCAACCCAGATGCCTTAAGCAGTAGGCTAAGATTAGCATTAGCATGTGATTTCATTGTTCTCGGGACTACCAAATATCCCATTTTTTTTTAAACATTCATCAGGTTTTAAGAGGAGCCTTGTTTATAATAGCACAGTATTGGTGCGCTATGAAAAGCAGGAATAGTAATTATGCAATCAAAATCTAGATTATATAATATTGCTTTACCCTATGATGTCATTACATAAAAGCAATATATAAAATTGCATGATCTACTCTAAATTTATTTATTATGCTGTTGTACAGGCTCCTAGTCTACCTCATTATTCAGCTCCATTTTTCAAATAAAGATTGTATTATTAATAATAATAATTATCTTTGGTATTAATCAGTAGGATTTTTTTTTCATTCATTTATTCATTCATTTAAAAAGTAATATATATATGCAATTCAGTCAGTATCAGATATGCCAGTTTTTTAGTATCTCTTTTAGGTTTAGGTTATTAATCTGATTTTAACAACCATTATATCACAGTTTTGTTTGGAAATTTAATTATGGAATCACTGTTAACTGTCTAGGTCTGTTTTTAAGATACTCAGCCAGACATATGATATTGAAGATTAAATTTATTGTCCAACACGATTGATGTACATTCGTATCTATTTTGAGATGACTTGTTCTAGATTGTCCCCATAAGACTTTTCTGAGCTGTTCTTGGGACTAGTTTCCATGCATATCTGTGTAACATAAGTGGCCAACATTTGCTGAATTAGCAGTATTAGGATTGGATGTCACGTTACAGTACTGAGATCTCCTGGCTCAATGCTATTGCGACCTCAAAGAAGTTTGCTCTCAGGTGGGGTGATTCAGCATCATATGTATCCATACAGTTGCCAGTATGCTTGACAAGTTCCATTACATAATGTTTAATTAGTTCCTGTCTTGAGTAACTCTAATAGTGGCAGTGTTGCCATAGTTCCAATCCCAATCCATTTATTCAGGCTGTGTCTAAAAATGAGATATGGCTAACCTGGCTGACCTCTCTTGGCACTCAAGGCAGCGTTCAGTAGTATATATTTCTGGGTGTACTCCACAGAGATTAGTACGCTTCTTTTTTAAGACCTTCAATTCTTTTTTTGGCCACAGCTTCTCAAGCTCTCTGCTATATATACTATGTAAACAGATGACAAAGAAAACCCAATATTTTTTATTGTTTGTTCTGGTTGTTATTCTTATGCAGTGGAGTGCATTTACTTTTAAATGGGTTTAAAAACTATACAAAAAAGTTTAATGAATGAATGAATGAATGAAACTTCTGCGATAATTTAATCACGTTCATGTTGGCCCAAAACGGTATGATTTTCTTTATTCTGTGGGACAAAAAGAAGATATTTTGAGAATGGTCTCATTGGGGTTTTTGGTCTATACATTTGGATCATTGGGCTCCAATAAATGCTGTTGGGATAACAATTACAAGTTATTCTTCATATCATATTTTGTGTTCCGCAGAAAAAAGAAAGGCATACAGGTTTGAATCAACATGAGGCTAAGTAAATAATGACATAATTTTATTTTGTTAGGTTGTGTATCCCTTGCACTATAATGTGTTAGAACGTGTTTGCACTATTCAGCTTTAACAGTTGCCTCTAACTTGGTTAAACCTTTTGTCAAAAAGCATTGTCATATTAATTTAATAGCAAACACCACTTTTTTCATTAAATTCTTCACCATACATTTTTTTCTCAGTGGATTATTTTCACACCTTGCTGTTTCCTTAAGCTTCAGCACTTGCAGAAATGCATCTATGGCCCTCTTGTTTTGTTTGTCGTTCACATGGACTTCACCCCATAAACCCTGATCCTAATCCCTCACATCCCCCAAGGTTTGTTCCTGGCCAACCAATGAAACTATTCAAACAAAGGCACTCCTTAGCGTGAGTTCATACACCAGTGCTGACCATGCACACGTTCCCATTGACTGATAAAGCTTGTTTTCTGGAATCACATCCATTGTTTCATGCTCAGTTCAAAGAACGGGGTATTTAACCCTATAAAGCATATGTATTTGATGCATGAATTTGAAAGACCTCTAAATTATCAGCATGACCAAACCTTTGCTGAAAAATCTGTTCTGGCCTCTAACTGATTGGTTATACTTTTTAGCAAGTAAAAAGCCTTTTTGTAAAATGTAAAAAGTCGACCTTCAGGTCATGATACACATGCTGTGAATTTTTTTTTTTTGTGTAAGGTCTTACACAGAAAACAGTGTAAGATTTCTAAATGCCTGCCAGGATAGTGTTCTTGAACAATGCTACCCAACACAGTCAATTTTGCTAATTAAAATGGCAAATCTTAATATATTTTATTCAAATATATTTAAAATATATATATAAAATATATTTATTTTATTTTGCAAAATAAAATTGCAAATCTAATGGTTTTCAACCATCGGCCAATCCAAGGACCGCAGTATAAAATAGTCAAGATCAATTGAGTTGAGTTCAGTCAAACTGTGCAAATTGCAAGATCATTTGCATGTGAGATCAATAAGTTCACATGAGTTCAGTGAAATGAGTCAAACTCTGGTCTGCTGTACCCTTGTGGGTTTTGTAGGCAGTGACAAAAGCATTTAGACAATTACAAACAAAAATGTTTGAATTATCATATAAATCCTTGAGGTCTTTTATTTACAGAGTTTGAGAATTAATTTGTTTTCATTTTCATTTGGTTAATGTGTAGCATCTTACTAATCAGCACACTCTTAGATAAAAAGGTACAAAAGTTGTCACTGCAGCGGAACCTTTTCAAAAGGTTCACCTTTGTATTTTACTTACCCCTAAAGGGTGCATAATAGGGCTGCACAATGATTAATCACAGTTTACATACTATTATGTGTGTGTACTGTGTATATTTATTATGTATATATAAATATACACACACATGTATATAGTTAAAAAAATATTTGTATGTATATATTTATACTTGTATATAATCTATATTATACATAAATATTTTAGATATAAATCTAACATATTTTTCTTTAATGTATGCATGTATGTGTGTGTATTTTTATATATACATAATAAAGTACACACACATATAGTATGTAAACAAACTTTTGTTTTGAATGCAGTTAATCGCGATGAATCGTTTTGCAGCCCTAGTGCATATTGGTACCTTAAAGGTACATCTTAGTACCTAAAGTGTACATATTTGTACCTTAATGGTACATATTTGTTTATTTTGAAAAGGTACCTGTCCCAGTGACAGCTTTTTTACCTAAGAGTAAAGAACAATGACTGATTCCTATCACTAGGTGGCACAGTAACAAAAGAACTATAGCAAAAAAAAAAACACTAGGGCTGGATTCAGATTCTGATTACTGTTTTTTCTTGGGTCAAGAAGTCATCCACAAAATAAAAAATTTCTTCACATCAAAGAGTAAAACTGTCTTACATATTATAATTTAAATGTTTAAACAAACATGAACACGTTATTTAAATTTGTGCATAGGAATCAGTTATTCTTATCAATACAATAGTTGGTGATATCCTATTGGTTATGGATGTACTAATATAGAGGTTGAGGTTCACACCCCGGTAGAGTTGATTCCCATTCCATCTTAACCCCCAGACAACTCCACAGACACTGCATTTGTCTAACAGGTTGATTTAGTTACAGTCTTTGTGTATTGGCAACTAACTGACAACTGCATACATTTGATAATTAATCATGTACAGCTTCTAAACAGCAGGGTTTTACCAAAAAATAGAGATAGACCAGCACTCACAGATGCACACAGGACCTTCCCTCAGCAGCAAAAGCTCTGATTGTTTTGTGCAGGTATGGAGCTATTAATATGCTGATTATCCTCATGACCTTTTGCTTAAGATGGATACGATGGATATGAACTTTACCTAAACAAAAGTATTATAGGCATTTTATAAGACAAGACTCTTTATGGTTATTCCATGTAGGCACATATTCCTTAGTAGTTTTTATTAGGAGTATTTAGAATGCACCAAATGTAGCTGAATTGCAGAACCAAGACCAACAGGTTTAGGAAAGGTTTCCAAATAAGCAGCATACATTTTTTATTTTATTTTATTTTATTTTCGCATTTTTTGTTTTGTCTCGTTCATAATTCTTCTGCTAGTTTTTTTTATGCCACTATAATGTACTCCGTTTGTAAATACCACACACTAATTATATAATACTGTATATTGGTGTACAGTGTTCATAATATTGGCACACAATGGCACATGAATCACAGTCTACCAGTTATATTTTTCAAATTATATGTATCTGCAGTGGTCCCACTTTTAAGCTAATGGTTTTTAAGCTTATCCATGTTACTTCTATACAAAATGGCAATATTATACTTTTAAGTATTAGAATGAAATACAGAGTTATTTACTCTTTTTGAGAATAGTTATGGATGCTAATTTAATTTTATTTTTGCATTTTTATTTTATTTCATTTCTGCATTTTCTATTTTATTTTAGTTTAGTTTTGCTTTTTTATTTTATTTAATTAATTAATGTATTTATTTAATTTAAAGCAATTCAGGCACATTCTGGTCATTCTTTGGTCTTATTTAATGACTGATATTCACATATACTGTACATTTGTTCTTTTCCATTTTTTAGGAAAGCCCTTTCACTGCTCTCATGGTTGCAGTCACATTGAGTAAGAAGACAACTGGGGTGCTGAGATAATCAGCTAGTAGCCTGGTCAAATAGGGCTTAGTAATGAGGAGTGTGTTTTTAATAAGAACTTAAAGAGCTTGTAGTGCAAAGGCCAGGCTTCTGGGCGAGGAGACATAGAGGAACAAATCATATGATTGTGCGTTAGCACTCACATACTTTATGATTGTATAGCTTTGACTATAAAACTGTCATTAAGAGCATCTCTTCTCTTTCCCAGGACGCAGAGAGCGTTCAGAGGAGGACGTCGTTCGGTTTCAGCTCTGGGCTCAGGCTTTGATGCAGGTCACCTGATCAGTTTTACTAGAGCAGATCCTGATTCACCTTCAACACTATTAGGAAAACACCTTGCTGATGACAGCTAGATTGGACACGGGTTGCCCCTGCTGTGGCAGGCGTCTCATCTCACGATTCTTCATTTTCTTAACTGTTTGAGGATTATATGCTGTAAATATTCTGTTTTTGTCCTGAAACCTCATTTGAACTCTCATTCCTTGGCCATCACCTGCCAGTACTGGGATTGAGGCAGAAGATCCCAAGATGAGTGTCAAAAAGGAAGACGTGGAGAAGTTCCTGGATGGAAATCCAGATTTTGCCAGGAGCTATTTTGACAAAAAGCTCAAACCTGGTGCCGTGGCCTCGATCATGCGAATACCAGAGTCGAAAGTGGATATGGACAGTTTTAAGGACATATGCTCGGTAGAGGAGGGAGCACTATTCTACGATCTCATTACAGACATGCAGGAGAACGTCAATATGGAGAAGGTGATTTTTAAGATTCTGAAGCGGATCAGCGCTCTGATCCATGCCGACCGATGTAGCCTGTTCATGTATCGACAGAGAAACGGCATCGCTGAGCTGGCTACACGTCTCTTCAACGTTAATGAACATTCTGAGCTCGACGACTGCGTGGTGCCTCCAGACTCTGAGATCGTCTTCCCTCTGGACATCGGTATAGTAGGATATGTGGCTCAAACCAAGAAGCCCATCAATGTGAAGGATGTTACACAGGTACAAAGGAAAACATTGCTGTACACAGATCAGACAAACTGTAAAACTTGATTGAGACAGACTAGTCACACTATTATACATTATTAGACTGCAGGTATGGTCATATTTTGAGGCTTGGCAAATCCTCTTGACATAATCCATTTATTTCAATATGCCATGACCCATGTGCAGCATGAAGGATTATTTCACCTGTGGCATTTACACAGTGACCAAATCTCTCAGTAGTTGAATTACAGATTGTTTGTTTAATCACTTGTAAAATAGTTATCTTGTTAAACGGGGGCAATAAAACGCTTCTTGGTAACACTTTACAATAAGCTTCCATTAACATTTGTTGCATTATTTTACATGAACTAACAATAAAAAATGGTAGCACTTTATTTTATGGTGCCCTTGTTACAAATGTTGCATGTATGTACTATAGTAAAAACAATAAATGATGCATAATTACATGCAACTAACCCTAAACCAAACCCTCATCCTTGCCCTAACCATATAGTAAATACATGTAGTTATTTAATATTACTCAGTACTTAAATGTATAATTACACTGTTACAAGGACACCATCAAATAAAGTGTAACCAAAAGTAAAGCATTTATTACACTTAATGTTAATTTTATCATTTACTAATGCATTATTAAAATCAAAAGTTGTATCTGTTGATATTATTTAATGTCATTATTTAATGTATTATTTAACACAAACTTACAGTTAATAGTTTTATTAACTAACAGATTAATAAATAAAGTAACAAATGTATTTCTCATTGTGACTAAATGTTAGTTAATGCATTAACTAATGATAGCTAATAGGACCTTTTTTGTTAAGTGTTACTAAAATGTTTTTTTTAAATCTTTCTAATATCCATATGTCATTTTTCCATTAGCAATAATTAATTGTTAGATAAATGCCACAGTTAAAAGTGAATTATAAATATTTCTTTAAAATGTGTCTTTTAATTTATTTTGTACTGCATGTATTTCAACTGTGATGAGATATTGTGCTTAACATCAAAAGAATACAAATTTGTATCTAAATTAAGAAATAAACTAATAAATAAATGTTTTTTTTCAGCCTGACTCTACCCAAAATCAAAATTGTTTTAACATTTACTAACTCTTATGTCATTGCAAATCCATTTGACTTTCTTGTGTCCCAGTTTGGAGCTTATATTCCAAACAGTGACATCTGTGGTCACCATTCACTTTTATTAAATATAAGAGAGCAACTTGGGGTATTTTTGCTAGACCATTTATTTTTTCTGAATGAAAATTATATAGATCTGGAATGATAAATGTTGGCAGAATATTCTTTTTTTTGGGAGAACTACACTTTTAAAGGGGTCATATGATGCTGCTAAAAAGAACATTATTTTGTGTATTTGGTGTAATGAAATGTGTTTATGCGGTTTAAAGTAAAAAAAACACATTATTTTCCACATACTGTACATTATTGTTTCTCCTCTATGCCCCGCTTTTTTGAAACGCGGCTATTTTTACAAAGCTCATCGGTCTGAAAAGTGAGGTGTGCTCTGATTGGCCAGTTAGCCAGTGCGTTGTGATTGGCCAAATATCTCAATCGTGTGACGGCAATGTTACGCCCCTCACAATACTGTTGATGCCGTGTCCCGGCCGGAGCGACGAAACAAAAAACATGAAAACCCATTACAAACGAGGCATTTGTTGCATCCAGTGGGGACATAATTACTGATTATAATGACTTATACTGTCTTTTTACGCATTGCGTTGCATCGCGCCGCGTAAACATAAAACCATATCTGCATTTGTGATCGGAGAAATGACAAACTACAAATGCTACTCTACACTGCCCAAAACTCGCGTTTGAATCGTCAGTGGCAAATCCTTTAAATGAAAACGTACTTACAGACTGTGAGTCACAACAGCCGGCATTGTAGTCTACTCTCCCAGGATCAGGAAACAGTCCTCCATAAAATGTGCTGCACACAAATTAATATTTGGGTTAAACTGTTCTGGAACAGTGTTGTAAATACAACTTAACCACTGATTTGTAGTCGTGTCCTCTTTTGGAAGACCAAACAAAGTAGTTTCGCTTTCACAATGAAACACATGGCGGCCTAGCGTGAGCTGAGACTGGGCTAGAGTGAGCTGAGGCCGGGCAAGAGTGAGCAGAGGCGGCGGGGTCGAGAACGGCGTGGCCGGCGGATTCGACGAAGGAGTGGCAACCACATGTGACGACCCCGGACTGGACTCCGCTTCGTCCACGGTGAAAGCCGATCCGGCGATCCACAGCACTAAGTTGATATATTCCCTCAGCGACCAGCACAGATCAGCTCTAGGCATGACAAAGCAGATATCGTCCTCTTTTGGAAGACCAAACAAAGTAGTTTCGCTTTCACAATGAAGCACACAGCACCTTCACGACATGGCGGCAGCGGCAACAATACTACAGTGAGAATATAAGTTACGCCTTATTTCTTTGCGTGAACATTTGTGCGGCTGTGCAAATCTTCCCACATAGTGACGTAGATATGTGGGGGTTGTTAGAACGAGCCGTTTTAGGTAGGAGTGGTTAACTCTTAACTTTTATAAAGAATATCTCTTTGGATTTGAGACTTTAGTCTTTGCAACTTTACAGATCTTCTTTATGCACCAAGAGCTTGTAACACTCCAAAGAGAAAGGAAAATTTGAAATCACATCATATGACCCCTTTAAGAAATGTCTCTATTTTAAAACTCTTAAAGGACAGTTATTTAAAAAAGAAAATTCTTTAATCATTTAAAAGATCCAAAAATATCATAAAGGTGCCTGTGTGCATTAGAAGAGATAGTATTATAAAAAAAACACAATTTTCTTTTTCACAGATCTCCATCTGCAGATCATTGGGCTTTGGTTAGTGGATTACCTACATATGTAGCAGAGAGTGGATTTGTAAGTGACTCCTTTTTTACTTTGGGAATGAATTATGGTTGATTTTTGAAATTGTAAGTATGTATTTACATATTAATTTATTGATTTCTGTTGTGTATTCAAGATTTGCAACATCATGAATGCAGCAGCAGATGAAATGTTCAAATTTCAGGTATTTTTGTTTACTGCCTAAAACGTGTTTAATGCTTGAAGTTCCCTTGACTTGTAGTAAGAACACTTTGGGTTTCTGTAGACGGAAGCTCTGGATGACAGTGGATGGACCATCAAGAATGTGCTGTCCCTGCCAATTGTCAACAAAAAGGAAGAAATTGTTGGTGTTGCAACTTTCTACAACAGGAAGGATGGCAAACCATTTGATGACCATGATGAACAACTCATGGAGGTTCAACTGATAGATTGATTGGTAGCACTAAAGAGAATGGTCATTTACCGATAAATACAAAAACCACTCACTTGTTGACTTACGGAATAATGCGTTGCTGTCTTGACAGGCTTTGACACAGTTTCTGGGCTGGTCGGTCCTCAATACAGACACCTATGACAAAATGAACAAGCTGGAGAACAGGAAGGACATTGCCCAGGACATGGTGCTGTACCATGTCAAATGTCGAGATGATGAGATTCAAAACGTCCTTGTAAGACTATACTTTTAAGTTGCAAATTTTATATTGTTATTTTATTTTATAACTACTTATTTTTGTTTTCTTTGGTATTTTTATTCTAGAAAACAAGAGAATATTTTGACAGAGAACCAAGAGACTGTGAGGAGGAAGAGCTTTTGGAGATTCTGGTACACTGAACTGCTTTAATTATTTAAAGATTTTTGAAATCACAGTTTGATGTTAAACTTCTCAGAGAGATAAGATAAAGAACGTCGCCTTTAATAGGAATCCATTAGTAGAAACATTACAGATGCTTTCAAATATGTCTATGTAAATTAATTTGTAGGTTATGCTGTTTCAGCTATTACTGCATTTTTTTAATTATTCATATTTTTTTCTTTTGCATTGGTTTATGTTCTCAAAAAGTTGTGCACTGTCTGACTTTGGTTTTATTATTTTTCATGCAGAAAAAAGAGCTGCCTGGCCCGAATAAGTTTGAGATCTACGCATTCCATTTTTCAGACTTTGTCTGCACTGAATTGGATCTTGTAACGTGTGGGATCCAGATGTACTATGAAGTTGGAGTGGTTAAAAAGTTCCAGGTCCCTCAGGAGGTAAATGTGCTTGTTTATAATGATGGAGGCACCTGATTTTTGTCATGAAGTATCATGAAATTCCATAAAATTGGCTGCTATCTTCTAATTAGGTCTTGGTGAGATTCATGTACTCAGTCAGCAAAGGCTACAGAAGAATCACCTACCACAACTGGCGCCATGGCTTCAATGTTGGGCAAACCATGTTCACTTTACTCACGGTATGACCTGCTCCGCTCTCCCTTCATTTTTTTTTTGCATTTAGATGCCACTTTTATTATTTTATTTTATTATTTTATTATTCTATATTTTATTCCCTGGGAGTTCAAAGCATGATGTTGGTGTTCGCATCATGCTGTACTGCTCAAGCTATAGAATTGCTTGTTTTCTTGATTTAAGTAGAAAACAGAATTTCAAACAAAATGATTCTTTCCCAACAAGTTTGTTTGATCCAGTGTCAAACAAACAGATTTCTGCATCTTTGTTGTTCGTGACATTTTTTATACAGATACTAAAAATGATAAAATCATAATGAGAATTGTTTTTTTTTTTACGGAGTCAGACAGGCAAACTAAAGCGGTATTACACCGATTTGGAGGTTATGGCCATGATCACTGCCGGCTTCCTGCATGATATCGACCACAGAGGCACAAATAATCTCTACCAAGTGAAGTCAGTAAATACTACTACTATTTCTACTAGTACTTGTACTATTATTGATTCTATTAATAATAATCATCACACTTTGTGATTAGGTCCCAAAATCCTCTAGCCAAGCTGCATGGATCCTCCATTCTAGAGAGGCATCACTTGGATTTTGGCAAATTCTTGTTAGCCGACGAGGTATGAGCAAACCATCCAGAATGTAAGCCTTCACGCTAATTTAATTTGATCCTAACATGTTTTTTTTCTTAGTCATTAAACATCTTCCAAAACCTCAACAGAAGACAAATGGAGCATGTCTTACACCTCATTGACATAGCCATTATTGCAACTGATCTTGCCTTGTACTTCAAGTAAGTTTCTATGATATATCATAATGAAAATACATTCTTTACTTGTCACTATGTTGTTTCAAACTCATATGCAGTTATTTTTTTCCTGAAGAATCATTAGCTGTTTTTTGTAAAGTGACGGTTTTATAGTAAACCATGGCTGTTCATTTAAAGAAGTGAAACTAAATGTAAAGCTAAAATGAGACAAAAGATTTCAAATATAAACAACAACTTAATTCCACCTCAAAGAAAGAGAACGATGTTCCAGAAAATTGTTGATCTCTCTGAGACATATGAAGAACAGAAGAAATGGGTGGACTTCATGTCTCTTGAAACAACAAGGAAAGAAATTGTAATGTAAGTGTGTCCATTTAGAACTACGATGGAATTTTAGCGTAACACATCTCTTTAAAAAAGTAATTTTGTGCTTTGCGTGTTTTCATATTTTTAATAATTGACCAGGGCCATGATGATGACAGCGTGTGACCTCTCAGCTATCGCAAAACCATGGGAGGTGCAGAGCAAGGTAAGAGATGTCAAGTGAAGAATGACTACAGTTTTGTTTCTCAGCAATGAACAAAGTGTTATTTCTCCCATCCTAGGTCGCCCTCTCTGTGGCCGCTGAATTCTGGGAGCAGGGTGATCTTGAGAGGACTGTTCTTGAGCAACAACCTATCGTAAGTACCTGAATCTAATATTGCTGGTTGGGCTGCTAGGAAAGTGCCCATCTTGGAAAAAAAGAATAATCTAAAAAGCTCCTGTGGTACTTGTCTTTTAATCTAGCCCATGATGGACAGGAACAAAGCCGCAGAGCTGCCAAAGCTTCAGTGTGGTTTTATCGACTTTGTCTGTACATTTGTCTACAAGGTAACTTTATGAATCATAATTTTTTGTTTCAAGAAATCACTGTTAAAAACTAAATGAGAATGTGTTGCCCATTAAGATTAATTAGCAACCATTCCCTCTTTGTTTTCCACAGGAATTCTCTCGTTTTCACCCCGAGATCCAGCCAATGTTTGACGGCATTCTGAACAACCGAATGCATTGGAAAGAGAGGCAGGAAGAATATGAGGCAAAACTAAAGGCAATGGAGGAGGACAGATCTCCACCTGCAGATCATTGGGCTTTGGTTAGTGGATTACCTACATATGTAGCAGAGAGTGGATTTGTAAGTGACTCCTTTTTTACTTTGGGAATGAATTATGGTTGATTTTTGAAATTTTAAGTATGTATTTACATATTAATTTATTGATTTCTGTTGTGTATTCAAGATTTGCAACATCATGAATGCAGCAGCAGATGAAATGTTCAAATTTCAGGTATTTTAGTTTACTGCCTAAAACGTGTTTAATGCTTGAAGTTCCCTTGACTTGTAGTAAGAACACTTTGGGTTTCTGTAGACGGAAGCTCTGGATGACAGTGGATGGACCATCAAGAATGTGCTGTCCCTGCCAATTGTCAACAAAAAGGAAGAAATTGTTGGTGTTGCAACTTTCTACAACAGGAAGGATGGCAAACCATTTGATGACCATGATGAACAACTCATGGAGGTTCAACTGATAGATTGATTGGTAGCACTAAAGAGAATGGTCATTTACCGATAAATACAAAAACCACTCACTTGTTGACTTACGGAATAATGCGTTGCTGTCTTGACAGGCTTTGACACAGTTTCTGGGCTGGTCGGTCCTCAATACAGACACCTATGACAAAATGAACAAGCTGGAGAACAGGAAGGACATTGCCCAGGACATGCTGCTGTACCATGTCAAATGTCGAGATGATGAGATTCAAAACGTCCTTGTAAGACTATACTTTTAAGTTGCAAATTTTATATTGTTATTTTATTTTATAACTACTTATTTTTGTTTTCTTTGGTATTTTTATTCTAGAAAACAAGAGAATATTTTGACAGAGAACCAAGAGACTGTGAGGAGGAAGAGCTTTTGGAGATTCTGGTACACTGAACTGCTTTAATTATTTAAAGATTTTTGAAATCACAGTTTGATGTTAAACTTCTCAGAGAGATAAGATAAAGAACGTCGCCTTTAATAGGAATCCATTAGTAGAAACATTACAGATGCTTTCAAATATGTCTATGTAAATTAATGTGTAGGTTATGCTGTTTCAGCTATTACTGCATTTTTTTAATTATTCATATTTTTTTCTTTTGCATTGGTTTATGTTCTCAAAAAGTTGTGCACTGTCTGACTTTGGTTTTATTATTTTTCATGCAGAAAAAAGAGCTGCCTGGCCCGAATAAGTTTGAGATCTACGCATTCCATTTTTCAGACTTTGTCTGCACTGAATTGGATCTTGTAACGTGTGGGATCCAGATGTACTATGAAGTTGGAGTGGTTAAAAAGTTCCAGGTCCCTCAGGAGGTAAATGTGCTTGTTTATAATGATGGAGGCACCTGATTTTTGTCATGAAGTATCATGAAATTCCATAAAATTGGCTGCTATCTTCTAATTAGGTCTTGGTGAGATTCATGTACTCAGTCAGCAAAGGCTACAGAAGAATCACCTACCACAACTGGCGCCATGGCTTCAATGTTGGGCAAACCATGTTCACTTTACTCACGGTATGACCTGCTCCGCTCTCCCTTCATTTTTTTTTTGCATTTAGATGCCACTTTTATTATTTTATTTTATTATTTTATTATTCTATATTTTATTCCCTGGGAGTTCAAAGCATGATGTTGGTGTTCGCATCATGCTGTACTGCTCAAGCTATAGAATTGCTTGTTTTCTTGATTTAAGTAGAAAACAGAATTTCAAACAAAATGATTCTTTCCCAACAAGTTTGTTTGATCCAGTGTCAAACAAACAGATTTCTGCATCTTTGTTGTTCGTGACATTTTTTATACAGATACTAAAAATGATAAAATCATAATGAGAATTGTTTTTTTTTTTACGGAGTCAGACAGGCAAACTAAAGCGGTATTACACCGATTTGGAGGTTATGGCCATGATCACTGCCGGCTTCCTGCATGATATCGACCACAGAGGCACAAATAATCTCTACCAAGTGAAGTCAGTAGATACTACTACTAGTTCTACTAGTACTTGTACTATTATTGCTTCTCCTAATAATAATCTTCATCACATTTGTATGTTTTGTGATAAGGTCCCAAAATCCTCTAGCCAAGCTACATGGATCCTCCATTCTAGAGAGGCATCACTTGGACTTTGGCAAATTCTTGTTAGGCGACGAGGTATGAGCAAACTGTCCAGAATGTGAGCCTTCGTATTAATTTGATTTGACCCTAACATATGTTTTTTTTCTTAGACATTAAACATCTTCCAGAACCTCAACAGAAGACAAACGGAGCATGTCTTCCACCTCATTGACATTGCCATTATTGCAACTGATCTTGCATTGTACTTCAAGTAAGGTTTGACAATATATCATACGTAGTAGTATGTTTTAGTCTCTTTAAAGGAATTTTTCACGCAACAATGAAAATGCATTATTTACTTGTCACTATGTGGTTTCAAACTCATATACAGTTACTTTTTTCTTCAGCTGTTTGTATAGTGCCAGTTTATAGTGACCGTTGCTGTTCATTTAAAGAAGTGAAACTAAAGGGGAAGTCGTGGCCTAATGGTTAGAGAGTCGGACTCGTAACCCAAAGGTTGCAGGTTTGAGTCTCGTACCGGCAGGGATTGTAGGTGGGGGGAGTGAATGTACAGCGCTCTCCCACCTTCAATACCACGACTGAGGTGCTCTTGAGCAAGGCACCGAACCCCCAGCTGCTCCCTGGGTGCCGCAGCAAAAAAATGGCGGCCCACTGCTCCGGGTGTGTGTTTACTGCTGTGTGTGTGCACTTTGGATGGGATAAATGCAGAGTACTAATTCCTAGTATGGGTCACCATACTTGGCCACATGTCACATCACTTCACTTTAAATGTAAACCTAAAATGAGACAAAAGTTTTAAAATATGAACTTTTTCTACCTTAAAGAAAGAGAACAATGTTCCAGAAAATTGTGGATCTCTCTGAGACATATGAAGATCAGAAGAAATGGGTGGACTTCATGTCTCTTGAAACAACAAGGAAAGAAATTGTAATGTAAGTGTGTCCATTTACAACTTCCGCTAGGCATTTTAGCATAATACATCTCTTAGAAATAATCCATTTGGGCTTTGCGTGTTTTTATATTTTTAATAATTGACCAGGGCCATGATGATGACAGCATGTGACCTCTCAGCTATCGCAAAACCATGGGAGGTACAGAGCAAGGTAAGAGATGTCAAATGAAGAATAACTACAGTTTTGCTTCTCAGCAATATATAAGTGTAATTTCTCCCATCCTAGGTCGCCCTCTCTGTAGCAGCTGAATTCTGGGAGCAGGGTGATCTTGAGAGGACTGTTCTTGAGCAACAACCTATCGTGAGTACATGAATCTAATATTGGTGGTTGAGCTGCTAGGAAAGCTCCCATCTTGGAAACCATTGGTGGAAAAAAAAAAAACAATCATGTGGTGTTTGTCTTTTAATCTAGCCCATGATGGACAGGAACAAAGCCGCAGAGCTGCCAAAGCTTCAGTGTGGTTTTATCGATTTTGTCTGTACTTTTGTCTACAAGGTACCTTTATGAATGAAGGGAACTGATCTTTTTGTTTGTTTGTTTCAAGAAAAAAAATGACCAAATCATTCTCATTTTGTTTTTAACATTAAGATTAATTAGCAACCCCTCCCTCTTTGTTTCCCATAGGAATTCTCTCGTTTTCACCACGAGATCCAGCCCATGCATGATGGCATTCTGAACAACCGGATGCATTGGAAAGAGAGGCAGGAGGAATATGAGGCAAAACTAAAGGCAATGGAGGAGGCAGCTAAGGCCAGACAGGAAGCAGCTACCAAAAATGGTTTGAATTTTAATCGTTTGCTTAAGATTTTATTAATCTATATCCTTTGTTCACTGTATTTCTACTAAATTAGGAAGAACCTACATTCAGACCCTCTTAAAATGTAGCTCATTATCAAGTTGACGTTTGACATAACAATATACATTTTTATTTAAAAAATCAGTAAAAACAGTAATATTGTGAAATATTATTACAACAACAAAACGTTTCTATTTTAATATATTTTAAAATAAAATGTCATTTATTTCTGTGCCGGCAAAGCTGAATTTTTAGCATTCATTACTCCAGTCTTCAGTGTCACATTATCCTTCAGAAATCATTCTAATTTGCTGTTCAGTAAACATTTTTTATTATTATACTTCAAGTAAAGTATAATTTTATCTTTGATCAATTTAATTTAAAAACCTTAATGACCCCAAATATTTGAAAGGTACTGAAGTGTACACTGACATGCTACATGGCCAATGGTATGTAGACACCCGAAATCCACACCTATATTTGCTTGTACAGATTTACAGATTAATAGGAAAAATGGTCCTCACTTTACTGCTATAAAAAGGGTTTTGCAGTCTGTTAACATGAAAAAAAAAACACTTTGACTTCTACAAAAGAACCCAGACACAAAAAGCTAACCTGAAGAACATGTAATTAAACATCAAGAACTTCATTAATCTCCAAGAAACTTGATTGGCCATCAAAAAGCCCAGACCTGAACTAGAATAGCCAATAACAAAAGAGTGTCCACAACCTGTCGGCCATATATCGTATGATATGATGCATTTCTTTCATTCGGACTCTTTGTGTTTGTTTCTGTACGGTTTCTCTACAGCTGCAAATTCCAACAGCACCAGTGGATCAGGATCAGGATCCAAGACCTGCTCTATCTGCTAGAGAAAAGACGACGTTACAGAGGGCAAGGCAGTTTGAGATATAGTACAATGCATTGGAAAGAGAGGCAGGAAGAATATGAGGCAAAACTAAAGGCAATGGAGGAGAGACAGGAAGCAACCAGACAGGAAGCAGCTGGCAAAAATGGTTTGAATTTTAGTCTTCTGTTTAAGCTTTTATTCATCTATATCCTCTGTTCACTGTATTTGTACTAAAATTTAATATAGCTAATTTTCAGGTTGACATTTAACATACCGATATAAACTACTATTCAAACGTTTGAGGTTGTTAAGTTTTGCAGCTAAGACCAGACAGGAAGCAGCTGGCAAAAATGGTTTGAATTTTAGTCTTCTGTTTAAGCTTTTATTCATCTATATCCTCTGTTCACTGTATTTGTACTAAAATTTAATATAGCTAATTTTCAGGTTGACATTTAACATACCGATATAAACTACTATTCAAACGTTTGAGGTTGTTAAGTTTTTTTTAATGTTTTTAAAAGCTTATAATGGACACCAAGGCTGCATTTAATGTATTTAATAAAAAATACAGTAAAAAATACTTTTTTTCTATTTAAAATTTATTGTAATTATTAAAGTTATTTGTAATTTATTTCTGTGATGGCAAAGCAGAATTTTCCGCAGCCATTACTTCAGTCTTTAGTGTCGCATGATCCTTCAGAATTCATTCTATTATGCTGATTTGCTGTTTTTTTTATTTATTATTATCAATGTTGAAAACAGCTTCGCTTAAAATATTTGTCAAGATTCTTTGGTAAATAGAAAGTTCAAACGAACAGCAGTCATTTTAAGTCAAATTTTATTGTAACATTATAAATTACTTTACTGTCATTTCGATCGATTTAATTGATCCTTCCAGCAGAATAAAAGCCAAAAAACCTATTGACCCCAGACATTTGAAAGGTAGTTCATTAATCTACAAGGAACTTGATGGGCCATCAAAAAGCCCAGACCTGAACTAGAATAGCCAATTATAAGAGAGCGTCCACATCCTGTCAGCCATTATATTGTATGATATAATGCATTTCTTAAATTCGGATTCTTTTGTGTTTGTTTCTGTGCGGTTTCTCTACAGCTGCAAATTCCAACAGCACCAGTGGATCAGGATCAGGATCCAAGACCTGCTCCATCTGCTAGAGGAAAGACAACAGTACAGAGGCAGAGGGCAAGGCAGCTCGAGATGCAACCTAGCCTCTAAATAGTACGTCACACAGGGGAGATCAACCTCACCCTTAGGATCCCCAAGGATCTGATCAAGAGTGAGTGGGAAAATGCTATCAATGCATTATATGCTATCACCAAGCCACAAGACCATCTGCTAACCAAAACACACATTGAATCTTGCCTACAGTTAGTATTACTGTTCCATTGTGTTTCTTTTGGGTCAGTGTTTAAGCAGTTTCATTGGATGGTAATCGGTTTCAATTAATCACAATGCAGACTTAAATGTACTACAGGAAAATTTAGGTTTTTTTTAAATAACTTTTTCCATTCAATCATCCAGATCCAAGATATTAGCATCATCTATACTTGTACTGGATAGGTTTTAATTTATTTACTCAGGTGATCAGTTTCTATTTAATATCAAGCAGGTCCATGACAAGTTCAATCAAGGAATCAATAAAATATGTACAGAAATTTGTTGTAATTGCAAGATACATTTTTCTCTTTTTGTAACTGTAATAATGTTCAATTTGTCGTCACCTTTCACTGAAAAAAACTGTTCACTGTTTACCAAAAAACAAAGGCCATTATACGAGTGATGTATTTTTTATGCCATTTATTCCCTCTAAAAATAATCACATTGTACAGCTGGAAGCTACTATTCAGGGGTGCGTTTCCCAAAAGCAACTATGGTCGCATGTTCCGTCGTTACCAATCGAATTCAATGGAATTAACGACCATAGTTAGCTAACGATGCTTTTGGGAAACGCACCCCAGGTCACTAAATGTGAGAAGGTAGGTGACAGACTTTAGTACGCAACAAAATATAGCTTCTGGTAAGCTAGATGGCAGAGTATCGTGGTTAGAAGGTAGAAAGATTGAGTATAAAGTTATAGTTGTTTTTTTATAGTTTGACACTTTTTCCTTCACTTAAGCTGATAGGTAACGCGCAATTGTCCTTCAGACTTATTTACATCAAGTGCTGTCATGGCTGTGTTTTACTGAGCAATGTCCCATTACTCAGTGTCTCCGCTGCTGGGACATGCGTTCAAAGAGAAAACTAATTCCAGTGGCCTTGATACCATTCATCAGTTCTCAGCTGACCTGTCATCACACTCAACTTTGAGAAGTCTGTGATTAAATTCATGAAGGTATTCTGATTCAGGCAATTTTGTTCTTCTTATGCCTGACTTTCTTCTTAAGTCTCTCCTTCACTGGTTGTCTATGAAACATCGTTAAAAACATCAGTTGTGAATCTAATTGTGTAAATATACGAAATTATTTTTAAATTTTATGAGGTACGATTTTAAGTAGTGTTAAAGTAAATACTACGAAGGTGTGTTTTAGTGCACTTAATGAATTTTACAAGCTTATTATACAAAGCTGCTGCTTCTGTTTCACATATCTTAAAGGTTTAAGTAGTGAAGGATCAGGCAGTAGCAAAGAAAATTGATGTTTAAATCAATGTGTCAGATCTGACAGTGAGGGCCCAGTAATATGATTTTTTGAATTTGACACAAATGTGATTTACTTGCAGAGAAAGATTCATCATTTTTGACATGAACTTGCTCATTTTGATTCATCATTAAAGATGCTCTCAAACCATCAAAAATACAGCATCAAATATGGGTGATTCCAATTAAATCGGTAAACATGTTAAGTTTCATTTCTGTATGCTCGATACCATGACAATTAAAGCATATATTTTTATGTACTTTGTGTGTTTTTTAGTATTTAGATTGACTATTTCAAATAAGTGATGTTCTTTTATATATTCCATTTATCAAAGAACCCTGCAAGAGAAAAAAATCATGCGTTTAAAAAAAAACTGTTCTCAAACTGATAATAAAAATTGTTTCTTGAGCACCAAATCAGCATATTAGAATGATTTCTGAAGGATCATGCGACACTGAAGATTGGAGTTATGGCTGCTGAAAATTCAGCTTTGTCATCACTGGAATAAATTACGGTTTAAAATATATTCAAATACATTTAGAAATATTTGTGGTAAAGTAACACCCGGTATCACTACTAAATGTGTATACAATGAACTTTGATAACTTTCTCCAGTTCATAAACTGTTGAAATACATCCCCTGAAATTCCTTTCCATAAATAACACTGCTTTGAAATTGTCTGACTGAATATTTTCATTGAATAACTTCAAATCCAAAGTTAAACTTCACATAGGTGAAATCTGCTACATCATGAGATGCTGTTAATATCACAAAATAAAAAAGGGACTAATTTCTTTCACCAGACGCCATTTCAACATTACTGTATCTACCCTCTATTGTTTAATATAAAATGTCCGTATTGAGAGACAAAGGACAGGTGGAACAGGGTTTTTGCAACATCATGTGATACATTTAGTTATATTTTATTCTTGTTATATTGTAGAATAAGTGTATAGAGAGAGATAGGGGTTACAGACCTTCAGAAAGCTGTTTGTAAATGCGCTCTTGCTCTTCCCTGAGTTTCTTCTCTTCCTCCTCAATCCTCTTTTCTTCAGCAGCAATGGGCTTCAGATAATCTGGTGAGCAGATTGATTGAAAAACACCATAGAAGACAATTAACAGAGGCACAAAAGGCATCCCAATACAAAATATAACTGAATTAATTTAAGTTTTAAACTACAATACATAAACGCTTACCATATCTCTGCTTCCCATAAATTAATCCAATTAGCAAGGCTGACCACCTTGCCGTCTGAAATCAGAGAAAGAAAACTGCTGGTTTGTTGACTGGTGAGCTTGTCAAGACTTCACAGGCAACTCTCATATTTTAAATCTATTCCTTTACTGCATATGACTAAAAATAAACAATCAGTATGAGAAAATACAGTTGGGTCAAAGTTTTGGACAGCATGCAAATCACAGTCTGTTGTTAATGGGTACTGATATAATTCATATAGTCCACTTCTAAACAAAATGTTTTCAAATATACAGCTTTTATATAACTCAGTAAGTATACACTGTGTGTGTGACTAGTTATACTTTTATAAATTCACCCTACCACAGGACAATGTTCAAGTTTAGTCAATAATCCTTATTCACATTTGACAGGTCATTCGTTGTTTTCTATGCAACACATCATGTAACGTTAGCCATAACGTACTGACCTTGCAGTGCTGTGGACAAGCTAGCAGGCTAACACCATTAGCTCATACACCGGCTACGCTAGGCATTAGCGCTAGCAACATATAGCGAGCTATTTGCTGAGGATAAATGAAGGTCGCTGATATAAACTAACAAGTATAGAGCATGTTTCTGATTATAAAACACAAGTTGAGAGTCATATTCCTAATAGAAGCTGTACCTTGATAAGCGGGGAGACTTGAACGGGAGGAACCATGTTTGAACGGATCTCTTCAGGAGAGAAAGTCTTAACTTACTCCGGTCTGCTCGGTAGGCTACAGTGTACACACATGTCCATCAACTTTTGTGACTTTTTTCCCACTATTTTTTTAATAAAACAAAAACGCTACTAATAAAATTAAATAAAACAAATAATAATAATAATAAACTGACAATTTTAGCAGTTCACTTAAATATTCCCTCAGTGTAACAAATTAGTTTTTTTAATTTATAGGCTGAATATTTCATACAGTCTCTCAATTAATATAGATCATTCATTCATGTATTAATTTGTTAGGTCTATCATCATCATCATCATAAACAACAATAATATTTTAGTTCTGCAGTGTGACATTTCCATTCAACAAGTTTGTGTGTGTGGTAAATATTTAATGCACTCAATTAATATAGAGTATTAATGTATTTATTTAGTAGCCATTTTGTTTATTATTATTCACCATTTCAACAACCAGATGACTTAGTCTTACAGTGTGACAAACGATTATTTAAGTATAAATATCTATCTATCTATCGGTTTATTATTATTTTTATTAGGCTACTATTATTATTATTATTATTGTTCACCCTTTAATAACCAGTTCACTTAAATATTCTTTTAAAGTAGGCTATAATTATTCCATACAGTCAGTCAGTTTTTATTTATTTAGTTAGTTAGTAGAAGTTGTAGGCTAGATGATTAAGATTTAGGGTGCGTCTCAATCAGCTCCCTTGTTCAGTAGTCAGGGCACTGATCAGGGAATCGGCCATTTTAAGGGCTGTCGCAATCGCGAAATCCTTCCAGTGCACTGGATCGTTCGCTCCCTGAAAAATCCCACAATGCACCGCAAAAACTAGGGCGCATCGGCGCTCACTATGCTCCCTTACCGGAAATAACTTCACATTTCTGAAGCATGAAACATAAACCACACGAGCCACTCCCTTTGGAACCACATCCCACACAGTCTCTTTAACCAAATAGGTGGCTTAGAATTTCTGTTAACTTGTGACTTTAATATTTCTAAACTCCCTCTTAAATTGTCCAAATTCCACCAGCAAGTGCTTTTAGCCTGGAAAATTTGCTATTCACACAATTTCTCTCCTCACACCTCCTTCATTTGGAATAATGCCAATATAACAAATGCCGATAAATCTTTATTTTTAAGGAACTGGTTTAACAGGGATATTAATCATCTTATGAATATGTTTGATAATTATGGGAATCTTTTAACTTATGAACAATTCATGCGAATCCACAGTTTCCCAGTGCATTTTAAGGAATTTAATTCGGTCATTAAAGCGATTCCTCCTACTCTTGTTCATCTTGTTAAAAGTCATATTTACTATAACTCTACAATAATGACAAAACCTAAATTAATTTTAAACGGTCTTGAACTGATTGATAAAAAAATGCAATAAAAATATTTCTACTGTTTTCCAAAAACTATTGGAGAAACTAAAACTAAATTATTTTGGAACTCTATTATTGATAATATTAATTGGAAGACTGCTTGGTTAACCCCCTTTAAATATTGTATCAATAACAAAACTAAAGAAATACATTTTAAAATTTTGCATACCATCTACCCTGTTAAATCAATAATTTCAAGATACTCTGATATTGATGATTTATGCTCCTTTTGTAAAAATGAGAAAGAGGTGTTATCACATTTATTTTTTGATTGTAAAATTACCCAAAATTTTTGGAAGGAATTGGCAGAATTTATTTTTAATCTAGTAAAGGATATGTGGCCAAGTATGGTGACCCATACTCGGAATTAGTGCTCTGCATTTACCCATCCAAAGTGCACACACACAGCAGTGAACACACACAAACCGTGAACACACACCCGGAGCAGTGGGTAGTCATTTATGCTGCGGCGCCCGGGGAGCAGTTGGGGGTTCGGTGCCTTGCTCAAGGGCACCTCAGTCATGGTATTGAAGGTGGGAGAGAGCGCTGTACATTCACTCCCCCCACCTACAATCCCTGCCGGTACGAGACTCGAACCCACAACCGGTGGGTTATGAGTCCGACTCTCTAACCATTAGGCCACAACTTCCCCCTAATATTGATGATTTATGCTCCTTTTGTAAAAATGAGAAAGAGGTGTTATTACTCAATTTTTGGAAGGAATTGGCAGAATTTATTTTGAATCAAGTAAAGGATAAATAGTGTTTTTCTTTAAAGGATATTATTGTGTACTATGAAAACAATGTTAACAAAGGTCTTGAATACATTGTTAATTTATTCATATTACTGGCAACATTTAATATACATACACAAATGTTTAAATTCATTCCCAATATTTAAGGTATTTTTAGTGGAATTTGATTGTTTTATATCTTCTCTGAAATTGTTAAAAAACAGAAAGTCATTAACATGTTTAAAATATTATGACATTATTTTCAGTGCCCATTACTAATTAATGTCACACTTTGTATAGCATTGACGGTCTTATGCTATGCTCTGTTTGTTATTTGTTCTATTTTCATTAATAAATAAAAAAAACACACGAGCCAACTCGATAAATATAATGACGTGTGATAGAAGATTTGAAAAGACAAACCGTTTTTAGTACATTTCAACATAAACACATCACTAGACAGGAATTGAACACATCTAATTAACATTTATAAGTAATATTCGGTTGAAATGTTGTAAGAACATGTAACAGAACGATGTGTTTAAAGAGAATAAAAAATTATATAAAAATAATATTGGTCCTGCATGTTGTTTAATTCCAGTGATGACGTTCTATTATGTTGTCCGTTGACGCTGTACGTAATCATGTCACTGGAATTCGAGTGATCACTGTCCCAACGTGCAGTGCGTCAGGGAACTTACCAGTGCCCGAATTCATGTACACCAGAGGTGCCCAAACTCGGTCCTGGAGGGCCGGTGTCCTGCAGAGTTTAGCTCCAACTTGCCTCAACACACCTGCCTTTAAGTTTCTAGTATGCCTAGTAAGAGCTTGATTAGCTGGTTCAGGTGTGTTTAATTGGGGTTGGAGCTAAACTCTTCAGGACACCGGCCCTCCAGGACCGAGTTTGGACACCCCTGGTGTACACAATCTACTGATTCACGAGCTAGGGAGCTGATTGAGACGCACCCTTAGAAAGAAATTAGTTTTGTCAACTGACCATTTTCATTCAGATGTATCATGTATTGTCATTAAAATAAATAGTAACTGTCCAAACCTTTGAAACCAAACTATAATTACAACATTTTAGATATGACAGGCTGTGGTTATAGGCTAGGCTACTAAAGATGAATTCCAACATACTTGATATCAGTGATGATACATTTTTTATTTATATCCACAGATACTACGTCTCCACCTGAGTGAGATAAACTTGTTCCTTCCTTTTGAATGTATTTGAGGAGGTGACGTGGCCAGAGGCACTGCCAACACAGGTGTGAGTTTCAGAAACCTGCAGGATTAGAAAGCTTGTTGGAACACTTGTGTTGAATTTAAACACAGCAGACAGAATATGAAGAAAGTTCTGACACACAAAGAAAATATGCTCTGATGTGACTTTGAACTATTTCTCACAGTAACCATGATTAGTTTTTTTATTTTTAATATGTTACGTTGCTATATGCTAGGAAAACCTTGTATCGTCCTCTCGCATTACCCTCTTCCCTTAATAGAAAGTTATGCAGACCCATTAGAGCGCCAGAGTGGTCACTGGAAATAGAACAATGATGTACATCTCTGGTATTTAACAGATGGATCACAAAAATACAGCCGACTTGTTTTGGAACATGACAGCAAGTGCTCAGTCATAGCAGCTCTTCGACAGGCTGACACACACTGCAGTGCTAATAGAGGAGCGTTACTGGAATGTTCCGGGGCAGCGTATAAAAGCCTCAGGTCTTGTTCACTGGGACAGAAGCACAGAAGAACTCGACCAGCTCAACACAGCACCGAAAATCCACCAAAGATGCTTTGCCCAAGCACTTTTCAGCCTCACCTCAGCCCATTCATGGACTTCCACTGGCCAGTGCGCAGTCTGTGGCCAGAGACCAGACCTCTGTTCTTTCAGATTGAGAAAGAAATGATGAGACACATGCAGGAGATGAGGCACAACCTGGAGTTCATGGAACGCCTGCACCAAAGGATTTTCGACGAGATTGACCATGGTTCACCCATGACGACTTTCAAACCCATCTCATTCCAGCTCGGAAAGGAAGGAAGCCAATATGCACTGACACTAGATACAAAGGATTTCACTCCGGAGGAGCTGTCCGTCAAACAAGTGGGCAGGAAGTTGCGGGTGAGCGGCAAGACAGAGAAGAAGCAAGACGACGGGAAAGGATCGTTCTCGTTCAGATGCCAAGAATTCAGGCAGGAGTTTGACCTTCCTGAAGGTGTGAATCCTGAGATGGTGACCTGCTCTTTAAATAATGGCCAGCTACAGATACAAGCACCCAAAGAAGCCAATGCTGTGAGCAACGAGAGAGTGATTCCCATTACATACACTCCTGCTGTGAAAAGTCCTGTTCCTCAGAGCCCTCAACCTCAACCTGAGAGCCAAGCAGCTGAGGCAGAGGCTACAGATATTTGAGCGCTGCCTCTATGAATGCAATATAACCCACAACGGAACAAATGACTATATGGAACATAAATGTAAAAGAATCGCAGAGATCATTATTGGTCCTACATTTTGTGGAATTGTATTAACATTTTGTTAATTGTATTGTGATTCAGAAGAGAAGTCGGATACTTCATTTCAATATTTGTTTTTGTTAAATGTTATTATAGTTTTTGCCAAAAAGCTCATTTTGTGTATATCCAATAAAGTAAAAAACTAATCAAGTTTGGGTCCTGGACGGCTACCATGTTTATGTAATTTGCCAGATTTACACAAAATATTATTAAATTGGTAACTGTATTTATTTGTATTTATTTATTCATTTAATAAATTAATCTCCCATTTTTGTTCTTACAATTTTCTCAAGAATTTTTGCATGCATTAAATTATTAGGAATTTCTTAAAAATTGTTGCATGCAAACATAATTGCATGCATCTTAATTTAAAAAAATCATTGTTTTCTTTGGGTCTAAAATTA